TAGTGTATAACACTCACCAACGCTTAAGTTAGCTAAATCTTCTACAGCAACAAGATTTTGCTTATGATGCCGTTCGTTCTGAATCAGTAAATTATGCATGAGATTAGTTTTACCAGCACCTGTTGCACCAGTAATTAACACATGCCTAGTTTCCATCTAACTATATCTTTCACTAGCGGCATATCACCAATAGTTAGATCGCTGGCTTTACCAATTTTACGCAAGCACTTTCTAACTTCTTTGCTAGTCAATACTTTATTGCTACCATCTTTCTGCTTTTCTGCTTTTATATCTCTGCCAAATCTTGACCATAGCAGATAGATTAAAACAAAGATGCCAAACATGACTAGCACAGTAAGAGCTAATCGTATTTTAACAAACTCCCATACTGAAAGGTAAGATGCTCTATAGAATCGTGATTTAAGAATTTTGCGTGGATCAATATCTTTGGCATATAAACCTTTTTTGTCATAAGCATCTATTTTAGTATAATAGTCCTTAGCAGATTACTTTCAAGTTTCTATAGATGAAATGATTGGTAGGGTTAAACCTACTACTACAGTTAACTCTTCTGATGAAAACTCTGATAAGGATATAGATTTAAATAACTCATAGTAGTTACTATCGTCCTATAGACAAATTGAGTTCTCATGTAACATTGCACAATTGTTTTTTAGTTATCAGTTCAACAAACTGGTAATCTAGTGTTTTGGCAATATCTTTAATAACAGAGCCATATTTATGATTAATCCAATCCTTCAGAAAGTTAGTAGGAGCTACTAAAGTAAGCTTTTGTGTGATAGCATTTTCCTCTACTCTGAGTTTAGAAAACCAAGCTTTGTCAATATGTTCATCAAAATTATCGATTAACTTTTTTCTTACCTTATACCAAACAGAATTTTGATCCAATTCTGTTAAAAAGATTTCATCTGGTAATCTTGATGAACCTAATTTTTTATAAGTGGCTGGTAATTGCTGATACACAATTTTAACATAACCATAAACTGCAACAATAGCGTTTTCTAAATTTTGTTGTTGATTATTAGTTAAAATTAATTCTCTTGGTAATTTGACAGTACACGTATTAGCTAAGGTAATACGTGCAAATTGTCTAGCAGGTAAAGAAGATTTTAATGATAATTCAGATAATTCTCTAGTTAGAATCTTATCATTGATATAATCATTTTCAGTAACATTAATGCTGAGTTGATTATCATAATCAAGAGACCTTTTTTGAAACTCCACTGCTGCTGGTGATTTGTACGTAATGCCAGTACTAGAATCCTCACGTACATTAGAGCCTGCAGTTCTCAGTGAAGCATCTCCTTCAAATCCCTCAGCATAAGCGAGTTTCGCAAAAGGTCTAATATGATCAACATCATGCTTTGAATCTAAACTTAATGAGCTATCAACAAAACAAGTAGAATGGTCGTCGAGAACATGCTCAAATTGAGTTATGTTGTTTTCTTCAGATAGTTCAAGATTATGGTAAATATCGTTTGTTATTTCTAACTCTTGACTAGTGTTTTGCTCGTTGGTTGCATGATAATCAAATTTGCCTTCTGTAAGAATTTGATAAGCTAGTTTTGTCTCAAATATACCAGCTATTTTTTTTCTTAATTGAGAGGAATAGCTGGTATCCATGCTATATTCTACTTCTGACAGGTATTTTTCTTTTTGTCGCATTTCTACAGATTCAGGGTCTGAAACATTGACAGTAAATCTAAAAGTTTCATGATTGACCATAGGAGCTTGGTGTTTCTCATAACGAAAAGCTTTGCTCATATAGGACATCATGTGGTTTTTACTTAAAAACAATTTGTTGGAATCACGGAAGAGTTTTAACAATAACTGATTGGCAAAGTTAACACTAAACCCTCCATTACCAAATTGTCTACCGGATGAATAATTTATCTTGTCTACTTGCTCTTTAGTAAGAGGATAGAATGATTTTAATGATTTAGCTTGAGTTGATTGCGTAGTTTTGCTTGATGATGATTTATCTTGAATGTTAGCAATTGAACCAACAGCGGCTGCTTCTATTGCAGTATCTACAACGTTGACTGGAGATATGACGTATTCTTGCTTAGCATTGTCTTCCTGAACATTATTTTTCGGTGTACTTTCTTTCTCATCACAATGCTCATTAAGTTCAACTAGCAGCGTTTAGATAAAGCATCAGTTTGAGGTAAATTTTCAAAAAAAATATTTTCGCTATCTATACTATCTGAATCTTTAATGTTTGATTTAAAGTCTTTATTTAATAATGGTATAAAATGAGTAAAAAGAGGGTCAGAAAATGAAGTATTATCTTTTATTTTACTATTTTCCGTTGTTTCTATTGGTGTTATTTGTTCTGTAATACTGCTATTCCTATCTTTAATTAATTTTTCATTCTCTAATTCACTTTGGTTGGTAAAAAGATTATTGTGGCTATACGATATATAGCTATCAGTATTAGCTGGTATATTAGAACGATCTTTTAAACCAATTAATTCTTTATGATATATATTAGGTAATAACAGACTTATTTGCCATAAAGACTTATCTTGCCTATCTTGTTCTAATGCTTCATGCTTGATATAAATATTATTTTTTGCAATAAATCCTAACTTATCTAACCCAATCATGGCTTTAGATAATGCTGGTATAGTACAATCATACTCAGTAGATAATTCTCGGTATGAGGTAGTAAAGGAAAAACTACTATTAATGTTACTACTACAATTATTATCGTTATAATAATTGTCATCACAAACCTTATTAGTACTAACGTTTCTATTATTATCATAGATCATTACTTTAGAATCTTTTCTACTTAACCGCATGTGGTATTTGTAGCATTTAGTATAGAATCCTAACCACAAGACCTTTTGTAAGGATGTTAAATATTCATTTTTACTAATAATTTGCAGTAATTGATAATTAATCTTAATAAATAATTTAGTTCTGTCTAAATAAGTTCTCTTACATTCACTTGAGTAATTATAATGTAAATGGTCTCCTACCCTATTAGGATATTTGCTTAAATGATTAAATATAGTATTAGGTATAGTTGGAGTAATAATGTTTCTTTTATTCTGTCCTATTTTATTCTTCTCTTTATTGATAATAAAGTATCCTTTATCTTCTAAGCTTTTTTGCATAGAAAATATTTGAGATCTTGAGCAACCAAGTCGAATAGCCCACTTATGGCTAGGAAGAGCAACTGATCTTTTTTTACCTGAATTACTATTAATTAAGGCAAGGTTATCCGCTACAAGATAATACAGTCTTTCAAGGTTAGAGAGACGGGAAGTTGTCAGAATGTGTTCAAGAACACAGGTAGAAAGAGTAACATATGATTTAGTTTTGTTGTAATGAAGTAAGTCAGTTTGTTTATAACTGGCAGGTTGTTGTTTCGTAGTCATAATACAATTATTTACTGTATTTTGAGACACTTGATTGTGCAAATTGTAAAATATATCATATTGAGATTATAATACTATTATAGTATAATAATAATATTAATTTTATATAATTATGCTTAGATGTGATATATTTACCTACCAATATAATTACTGCAAAAATTGATATAGTTAACTTGGTTAAATTTTAGATATAGTCAATTGATTTGAATTTGCTACATCGTTGTTCAATCACTCTGATAATAATAGTCCTGACCATTAGGCTTTATTCCTCACGTTTAGTGTAGAGTCCAACTGAATGCTATATAGCTCAGTGATTTCAGTATTATTATAATAGATGATGATTTATAAATGAACGCTCAAAGGTTTATTTTATAAAATGGTAAGCAGTTTTCAGATTGGATATAAGTTAGATTAAAAAGCAATATAATATTGATATAATTATTATATAATAACTATATCAATATTATATTGATAATATGCATATATTATAATACAATAGTTGAGTTAATGATTATAGGTTATAAAAACAATGATAATATTATTTGGAGGAGAAAAAGGAGGGGCAGGGAAAACAACTTTAGCAACTAATATAGCTGCTTTAAGAACTATAAAGCAACCGGAAACTTTACTCATCGATACTGATCGACAATCTACGGCAAGTTTTTGGTGTTCTATAAGAGAAGAAAAAAATATATCTCCACGGGTAACAAGCATTCAAAAATACGAGAGAGCTGTAAGAACTGAAATATCTGAACTAAATAAAAAATTCCAAGATATAATAGTAGATGCAGGAGGTCGAGATTCTCCTGAACTTCGAGGGTCACTGCTTGTTAGTGACAAAGCCATTTTTCCATTAAGACCTTCTCAATTTGATTTATGGACTTTGGGACGTTTAAATCTTCTTGTTGAAACGGCAAGAGAAATTAATGAAAAACTCAAGGCGTATGTAGTAGTTAATTTAGCTTCTCCTAACCCTAGTGTAAAAGAAATTGATGAAATGAGAGAATTAACAAAAGAATTTGCTCAACTAGAAGTATTGAAAACTAATATATATGAAAGAATAATATACAGGAGAGCAGCACTTACAGGTATGGGAGTTGTTGAATATAAACCGGAAGATACTAAAGCTGCCCAAGAAATATTAAATTTATATGAAGAAATTTTTGGTAGTATAAATAATGAGTAATTCAAAATTTTTAAAACCCCCGTTATCTCATTTAGAGAAAGAAAAGAAAGCTGAAGAATTTCTAAATTTTTTATCGAGTAAGGATACTAAACCGCTAGTGTCAGATGCAAAAGGAAAAGTAAGAATCTTAAAAAAAGAAGCAGTAAAACCTTTGGCATTACGATTTCCTAAATCTTTGGCGGATGATATAACAGAAATATCTGCTATGACAGGCTTATCAATGAATGCTGTATGCGTGGAGTTATTAAGACCTGCGGTTAAACATAAATTAAAAGAACTTAAAGAATAAATAATATAATAATTATATCATTTATATACTACAAAACTATTGTTATGATATTATTGTGCTGTACAAATTACATTGTCATTTTTCAAAATCGAGTTCAGTAGATTGAGATACAAAATATAGATGATGTTGCCAAGTTCAATAACAAAATTTGGAATAGGGGGGTAAGCAAAGTACTGAAATTATTGCACCTATTGCTTAAAAGCAGTATTTGTTGAAGGATAATGGTATTAGAAGCAGCAGAGAGGAATGAAGAAAGGAAGCAAGCAGAAATAGAGCATTTAAACTGTGGAGCTAGAGTGCTTGATAAGGTGACCCGTCATATGAGCGTCTTTACTAAAGGCGACTTAATGAGAGCAGTGAAATATGTACCAGATTTGGAAAGAAGAGAAAAGTTGGTAGAAGATGCTTTAGCAGATAAATCAGTAATAGCATTGTATCAAGATGATGGTAGGGTTACTCAGTATTATACTACATCTGCGGTTAGAGTAGAAGATATTGCGACTTAGCGGTTATGTAGCAAGTGGTAGGAATGTGTTTAGTAGTAATCAAAATATATCTAAACATACTTCCGAATTAATTTTAGCAGCATGTATCAATCTAACAGAAGAACAGCATAATGCTTTAACTGAGCTACTGACATCTAAGTCTGCTTTACAGATAGTGCGAGGTAGGGCAGGAGTAGGGAAAAGCCATGTATTGAGTCAGATTGCTGGCATTGCACAAGAATTAAAGGTATATGCGATAGGAGTTGCCCCGACTCATAAAGCAAATAGTCATACTGATACGATTAAGGGGATGCTGTTTAAATTGGCTAATGGAAGATTTGCTTTGCCAAAAAACAGTCTGTTAGTAGTAGATGAAGCAGGAATGATAGGCAATGATGATTTTAGTGAGTTGCTGCGAGTCGCTGCTACTCGTAAATGCACAGTTATTTTGTCAGGAGATGAGCGTCAGCTGTCTAGCGTACAGAGAGGAGGTATGTTTGAGGTAATGGCGAACCAATATGGTAGTAGTACGATATTAGATATAAAACGTCAGGATAGCAACTGGGGTAAGAGGACGGCTATGGCATTATCCAATGGAGATGTTAGAAGTGCTGTTAGTATATTAGAAGAAGAGAAAAGGATTAAGTGGAGTTCTGATGCTAATGAGTCAATGCAAAGTTTAGTTGCCGATTGGCATAAGAGCAGTTACGGTATTGATGATAAAATAATACTAGCGGTAAGAAACAAAGACTTAGCAGCCTTAAATCATGGAGTGCGTCAATATTTAAAGCTAGAGGGTAAGCTAAGAGGTCAAGAGATAGAAGTAGGTGGTAATCATTATATGAGAGGAGATCGTATAGTGATAAGTAGTACCAGCAAGAAGCTTGGTATAGTCAATGGTGAAATTGGAGTAATATTAGAAACCTCAACAAATAGATTTATTATATCGTTGAAGAATCCACACTATATAAAAGACAGTAAGGATAGCAAAAGGAGTAGTGAGTATAGAATGGTGGGATTCAATCCATCGGAGTTTAATAGTTTTAAACATGGTTATGCAGTAACAATATTTAAATCACAAGCAGCATCGATAAAAGATGTATATGTTTACCACAATGGTTTTGCTGGTCTTAGAAACAGTTATGTAGGTTTATCAAGAAATATCAGTGAGTTAAATGTGTATGTTAATAAAATAGCCACTTTGGGAAGAGAGAGTTTAATTAGACAATTGTCCAAGACGATAGATAGTGGTAGTAGCTTAAATTACTTAACAAAGGAGGAAGTGAATTATAGCTTAGAAGATATAGAGACCTTAAATAATATGAATGGTTTGAGTAGGTCTTTAGTGAAGATTTATGATTTTGCTGCAAATAATATAATAAAGTTAACGGATAAATATTTGCCAAAGCAGGAGT